CTGCTGGCATTTGAAACACCAGTGGCACAGCCTCAAGCCTCAGCACAGCAATGTGCAAACCCCACCGAATGACAACTGACAGACAAGTTTGTCTCCTTTGGCTGTTGAAAACCTCTCAGTCCTCCCCTTATCTAATTCCTACCTGGATTCTGCCACTTTGTGGTCCCCGGCACTCCCTCCCTTTCCTGCCTCTCAACCCTTACCTGGTTCTGGCCAATTTTTCTATTCTCTCTTTGGCTATGTCTAATTTGCTATTTGATCTGTTGATTGCGTTTTTTATACCCATAACTATTTTTCATTTTTAGGATTTCTACTTGGCCCAAATCTACTTTTTTTTTTTTTTTTTTTTAAGTGACTAGATCTGTTCTCATGGTTTTGATTCACTGTTCACATGCTTAAAGTAATTTTTACAGTCCCATCAGATGGTTCTACTATTGGAAGTCTTTAAGGGAATAATCTTGTTGTTTGCTGATGCTGCTAATATACCTCATGGTGGATTATATCTCAATGTGTTTTGTAACTTTAGAGTGTCAGCTCATGTTATTATGATTTTTTGACAAAAAAAGTAGGAGCTTTGGAGACTTTCCTTTTTGGCAGTATGGCAGTATGGATAACCTGAGAACCATTCTACTTAAAAGACTACAAATGCTAGCTCATGTTATTATGATTTTCACCAGGGGGATTTTGTTGAACCTAGGTCAAAGGTACATCCCCCCAGAGAGGTTGGAGGCTTGATTTTGAACTTGCTTTTGCCAGAGACTCCAAAGTTATTACTAGATCAGTGGCAATGCTATTTGTCTTTTCTGTTGGGGAGCTTCCAAAGCATGGACGTAAAGTCAAGCTCCAAAGTATTCAAAGACAAGCCTATGTTTGCTTATCATCAGGAAAGATTATAAATTATTTTCTCCCCAACTTTTAGGCTGAGTCAGATACATTCTTTGTCACCACTCTCTCTCTCTCTCTCTCTCTCTCTCTCTCTCTCTATATATATATATGTTTTTGGTTTTTTTTCCCAAAAAAACCATCCTTTTACCAAGTGTATAACCTTTCAAGGTTTTTGACTGTACGCTGGGGATGGCTTAGCTCCACAATCCCCACTGGAAGAGTCACAGGAGTCCATCTCCTTTTGTGGTGTGGGCTTTAAACTTCAACCCATTAATTTACCAGAACAGGCAACTCCCCCACCCCAGGACTACTACAACATCAGCTCAATTGCTTAGTATTCTGGTTCTCAATTCCCTCTTCATCTTTGTACCTTGCCTTCTTATAAAATTAGCTAACCATGTAAAATCATGTTTATTACATTTCATCTGGCATTTCTTGTCTTTTAAGTAGAATGGTTCTCAGGTTATCCAGACTGCCATACTGCCAGAAAGAGAAGTCTCCAAAGCTCCTACTTTTTCAATTTCTTTTTCTTTGATTACAGAGGGAGAAGGCTCAATTAGACACCATTCTTTCTTACAGTTTCACTTTATCTGTGAAGAAGGCAGCATCAGTCTGGATTGAAGCTTTCTACAGGTAATAGCCATTTGTGTTAGAGAAACAAGGAAGAGTGAATGACAATAGGAAGTGGGAGGCTACTAAAGGTACAATAGATTATGAGGGGATATAACATATAATGAATATTCAAAACCATAAATATCTTAATTTCAAATTCTAGAAGGCCCCCTGTAATGAATACTTGCAGTGCACAATATGGAAAGTCTACAGTCATTATGGTTGACTTAAAAACAAATTAAACATAAAGAAGATTAAGAAATTAAATGACTTACAAAATAGAACATCTTTTCATTGTATTTGGTACAATCTCTTACATAATATTTTTAAGTGAGAAAAGCAAGAATTTATTTTTCAGAAAGGATTTGAAAGAAGAAAAAAATGCTGATTATCTTGGTAGTTAAAAAACATATTCCTCCAGGAAGGGTAATCAATACTTTATAATGGGAAAGACCAAAGTGAAGGTTCTCACAGAGCACTTAATACGGCTGAATGGACACAAGGTAAGAAGGGAGGAAACAGTGTTTAAAATAGAATGAAAGCCTATTAAACTAGATTTTTATGAGGAAAATAAAGGGTTTATCCCAGTGGACAACATGAATGAATGAGCATTTTGAACGTTCAAGAGAGAACTACAGAAACAGAGACTCCATTAAAAACAAACTTGGAAAATACAGACACTGGAAGGGTAATATTTGCACATTGTTCTTAAGGACAGAAATGCTCCTAGTTTGTCCTGCCTTCTGCTTTTCCACAAGGACAGTGTCTACCAGCTCTGACAATGCTGCGATAGCCACCAGCAAGCAGTACTTTTCCACTTTCTCAGTAGTGGGGCAGGGGGTGCTAAAGATAATGCAATAGAGAAACCATTATTAAGGCAAGATGACAAAAGATGAGATTACAATCTCAGAGGCCAGGAGCCCAGAACCAGGGAAACAGACAAATGAAGAGAATTAAGGCGCTCTCCACAGGCTTTTACAAATGATGGGCCGATATTTTTCTACTTTGGGCATAAAAATGATATGTAGTAATGGCTTGCCCACTAATCATGGGACAGTGAACTTGAAAGGATCGTAAGAGGCCATTTCAACCTTCAGTCACTCCATCTCATTCAAAATACCTCTTCCCTTTAAACCCTTCAGCCACATGACCCTCAATTCTCTAAAGGTGCGTCTTTTAGACATAGTTTACTATGTATGTGTAAAGAATTCCCTTTCAATGACATTTGTAAGACTTTTCAGCTTTATTGAAGCAGTGAACTCAACAGGGATTTGACACTGAGGAGAAAGAAGACAGTGCTATCTTCATTGTCCTGGGAACACGGCGCGGCCTCACCTTCGTGAACGCGCGGTAGCACAAGCCGCACAGCTCCACCAGGTAGGCCAGCGTGAAGACGGCGTTCTGAATCACAAAGCTGAGCAGTTTTGAAAACGGTTCCAGCAGACTCTGAAATGAGATTGGGGTCAAATAAAATTACTTGAGGATTCCTTCAAAAAATAAGGAAAGAAATAAATGGAAGTGTTAAAGGTCTGACCATATTTAGCATCATGAGACTGTTCTTTGTTACCTGAGATCTGTTGCCAGAAGGCTAGGGTAGCAACCCTGCTGGTCTAACAAGAACAGAGCCGCATCTTCAATCAGTGGGTCAAAGAGCACGACGTAATCATTCTGTAGCTCAGCCCCAAACCAGGCCTACCTCCTCTGAGTCGATTCTGACTCATAGCAACCCTGCAGAACACAGTAGAACTGTCCCCATAGCCTTTCCCAGGCTGTAAATCTCTACAGAAGCAGATTGCCTCATCTTGCTCCTGCAGAGTGGCTCATGGGTTCAAACTACCAATCTTTTGTGGTCAGCAATTGGCTGCTTTAACCACTCTACCACCAGAACTCCTTTTTATAGCTCAGAGGGGGGGAAATCCATTCTTCCATGTGGCACCATTTACAAACCTACTTAATTTCACTGCTATCCTTGTGGCCACCCCAAACAACCAAGACTCTGTGAGGTTTGCATTTGGATCTTTCACTCTGTTTCTCAGAACTTTTAAGCATCTCTGGGTTTATCAGAAGGAACTCTGGTGGGATAGTGGTTAAGGCATTTGGTAGCTAACCAAAACAGCAGTGGCTTGAACCAGGTGCTCCATAGAAGAAAGATGGGGCAGTCTGCTTCCATAAAGACTCACAGCCTTGGAAACCCAATGGGGGTTGCTATGAGTCAGAATTGACTCAATGGCAGTGAGCTTGGGTTTTGTTTGGTTGGGTTTATCAGATGAGCCCCTCGATAAGCCCATTGTCTCTATTAAGCAGTGTAAACTACCCTTGGGTGTAAGTACCAAAGTATCAAAGTGCTATTAGCTTAGGTCAGACTCTTGTCCCAACCCAAGCACCTGCTAATCTTTATCAGGTGGCCATTTTCAGTCTTGATTTCCCCATCAGAATCCCACCAGAGTCGGTTTTAATTCCTTACAGTTTCTTTAAGTGATTTAAAACACTCCTTGAGTACCTACTAAGTATCAGGCAGAATTAGATGCTTTCAGATAGTTTGTCTCACAAATTTCTTAGAACTCTCCTGGGGAGTCATATGCTACAAAGGTTGATGATGCATGCTCTAGAATGTGGCAGCAACGTGTTCAAACTCTTGCTCTTGTGCTCTGGAACTTTAATTTAATCTTTAGTTTAACTTTAGTTTAATCTCTCTGCAGCTCAGTTTTCTCCTCTGTAAAATGGGGACAATAAGGACTTCCATCTCAGTAGGGTGGTTGGGAAAATTAAAGGAAATAATACTTAGGAGCTCTGGTAGCATAGTGGCTAAAGCACTTGACTGCTCACCAGAAG